TCATAACACAGGCGGTTTACTTTTCTTTTGAAAGGTCTTGTTCTTCCACTAATCAAGCCATCTTTTCTTGTCTGCTAGCTATTCCTGAGAATTTCTCTCTTCTCTAATTTCAAAGCCTTTCAGACTACTCTTGCTGTGCCTGCTTTTTCCTCAAACCTGAAGAATGCACTGCATTTGAAGCTTGTCCAAGTCTATCCCAGCCATGCAGTTGGTTTAATAATAGAAATCACACATAAAAATCCTCTTATATTTCCTGGACTCTCAGGGCAACATCATCACTCTAATGCTACCAAGCCTAAAAAATAAATAAATAAATAAATAAATAAAATGCTATTGCATATTAAAGGATCAGTGATTTTTTCCCCCCCGTTTACACTTATAACATGAGGACATTAGGCCAGGCCCCAGGTACTGAACACTTGTGCATTTTATGAGCTTTAGGGAGATGGCAGTGGAATCATGGGGGAATTAAGATTTTCAAACTGCTGACAAAAAGATGGCCTATAATAATCATCCTGTGGATTACAGACTTCTAGCGTCTTCCACATTCCTAACTTCCTCTATGAGGCTGGGAGCCAGCAGTGGGAGAATGGCTTTGTCCAGTAGGTAGCCTGATGGCATGAAGCAAGCACATTGTGTAGTTATCATGAGTCTGGACAGTACGAAACTGTTTATCCATGTCCTGAGAATTCTGAGAGTTAAGGGGCTTCAAAAGAATGTGCGTCTTCATTATGAGTAAAACTTAAGCCTCCACCTATATGAAGGTGGGGAGATCATACTTTCCCAAGCAAAGAACTACCTCCTTTAACACTGTACAAGATGTACTTCTTGCAGCTTTCCAGATGACCATTATAAAAAAGTGCTGTACATCAAACTGCTCAGTTACTACACATAACATGGAGTTATTCTCAAAGATATACCTGTTCTCCCTCAACCAGGTCATCAGATCACCTACATATTTATCTTGCACATTCTCACATTATGAAGCAACTTTTTCTGCACAGTACAGGATTTAACATCTAAAGCAGGGGTGGGCAAAATAAGGCCTGTGGCCAAATCTGGCCCACTGGGCTATTCTATTCGGCCCATGGAGCCCGCCAAAAATTTAGTAAATTAATATTTGCCCTAGCTCCCTGTCAAAGCTGACAGGCGCCAGGGGCAGTAGGACCCAGACGGAGCCCTCAGCAGGCTTGCAGGCTTGAGCAGCCCAGCCCTGCCCACCCCCAGCCAGTTTCCTGCTTTCCTGCCAGGCCCTGCTCCAGCACCACCTGACTATAGCTCCCAGCTGCCTCCCCGGACTGCAGAGCATAGGACCATGCTGGTATGGGGGGGGTGCAAGTGTGTGTGTGTGTGCGCGCGCACGTGTGCACACATGTCTGCAGGCACTGGGCAGAGTGCATGTGTTCATAGGATGAGTCCCACAAGCACACCTCACCATATACATGCACCTACATCTCCCCTTGCACTACCATACACAAATCCCAGCCACCCTCTCCCCGTACCTACCTACACCCCACATATCCACACACATACCCACATGCTCCCTCACTTCATAGACCCACACACCCACAGCCCCCACAAACCTATACCCCCCCACAATATACAAGAGTAAGACTTAATTTTAAGCTATTATACAATCACCTCTGTGTATACTACACAAACATGTAAATCAGGACAAAAATATTTTTTGAAATCAAATTAATGAATGTTGTAGATGTTCAATTTTTAGAGTATAAATTTGGTATTTTTCTGGTTCTGAGATGGCAAAACCCCTTGCTAAAAGAAGTACTTCTGGGGGCAAGGGGAGGGACTTCTGGTGACAAAGGTCAGGGGTTAGGGGGCAGGACTTCCAGTCACAAGATGGCGACCAGGGGGCACGGCACCTGTCAAGCATTGGGGCTATCCATGCGGCCCTCAACAGCTTGCCAAAACTCAGTAAGCAGCCCTCTGCCCAAAATATTTGCCCACCCCTGGAGCAGCAGCACTGGGCTGGGTGAACAGCACTGGAGATGAATGCTGCTTAGGCAGCAAATCCTGGCTGGTCACAAACTTCACAGCCTGTTGGGGCTGGGAACAGAGCTCCCCACTACCCATGCATCGTGCCCCCTGTACAGGTGTGTATGATCTGCAAACAGCATTGTATTGTAAGACATTGCTTCCTTGAGCAACTGCCAGGAATAAAGGCCTGGCACTGAGCCCCTCTCAACAGGCAGGGCTTTTCAGCAGGGAGCAGGAGTTGGGGTGGGGAAGGAGGGAGGGAGGGGAGGGGGGGGCGTGAACAGCGTTCTCCATTCAGGAACCAGGGTCTGTTTGGTCCAGGAGTGGGAAAAATACAGCTTACAGGCCAGATCCAACCCACAGCAGGTCCTTGTTCAGTCCAAAGCAGGTACCTCGGTCCCGCTTGGCCCAGGCACAGTCCAGCCATGGCGTGTCCTGCCACCTCCTGGGCATGCAGTGGAACTGGGGCAGCTCTGTGGTGGGACTGCCCTAGGCAGCCCGGGCAGCAGCAGCTCCTTCCAGCTGCCACTGGCCTCAGCTCTGCAGTACCGGTAGGAACCTACTCTGCACAGCCATGACCCTGTGCATCCTGCCCCTGCTTCGGGCTTACCCGCCCAGGCTCAGCAGCAGCAGCACGGGACAAAAACTGTTGCTCAGCGCGGGGGTGGGGAAAGCAGCCCTTCCCCTTCCTGCTGCTGCCAGTTCCCTGCTGTAGCCACATGGAGCCTCTGCAGGGCTGCCCTGCGTCTCCACTGCCATCACCACCGCCTCTGGGCTGCCCCCTGGGGCAGTGGTGGCAGCGCAGAACAGACACAGGGCAGCCCCAGGGGGGCTCTGGGTGGGCACAGCAGGGAACTGGTGGCAGTGGGAGGTGGAAGGGCTGCTTTCCTCCCACACTGAGCAACAGTTTCTGTCCCATGCCACTGCTTCTGAGCCTGGGTGGGCGAGCCTGGAGCAGGTGCGGGGCATGCGGGGTCGGGGCTGTGTGTGTGGGGCCTGCTGGTACCACTGGGCTGGGGCCAGCGGCAGCAGTAGCTGGAAGGAGCTGCCTGCCACCTGGGCTGCCTAGAAAGGCTCAGGGGGTGGCAGGGCACGCCACGGTGGGGTGGTACAAGGCAGGCTGGGTTGGGTTTGTGCACAGGTTCTAGCCGATCCGCTCAGGTGGGGGTGAACCCCCCCCAAAACCCCCTATACCCACCCACATCCACACACAGCCCCACACCCTCCCCCACATACACACATCCACATACATACCCACCGCACCCCACAAACCCCATACCCATCCTCCATACCTCCCCACTCCCCTACAATATACAAGAGTAAGACTTCACTTTGAGTTATTATGCAATCACCTCTATATGCACCACACAAACACACACAAATCAGGACAAAATTTTTTTTTAAAAACAAAATTAAAATGTGTTATTGTCAATGTTTGATTTTCAGTATATAATTTTTTTCATGGTTCCGAAACTGTACTTCTGGGGGCAACGAGAGGGACTTCTGGTAGCAAAGGTCAGGGGTTAGGGGAGGACTTCTGGTCCCAAGATAGTGAACAGGGGGCGAGGCTACACTTATGGCCCTCAGTAATTTGCCAAACCTGGTTAAGTGGCCCTCCACCCAAAATAACTGCCTGCCCCTGCTCTAAAGAAAGCATACTGGTGAGAAGTAGATGACCCAGTTCTTATAAAGATTCTTTTGCTAACCCTGAGATAGAGTTGCTGCAAAGTAGGTATGTAGGATGTTAACTGAGTGGATAATCATAATTTTAATTGGGACTTTCAGTTCTAATTTGAATTGCTTGAATTCTAAGGAGTAATAGCTTCACCATCCCCTGCTCCTCATTCTCTTCAAAAGCTGCTGTTTACAGTTATACTAGACTTCAATATTACTAGCAAAGAGGCATAGCACAAAAGTGAATTTCTTTAAAATGGAACTGGATATGTTAACAGAGGGTATGGTTGGGCATGCCATAATTCCATTTTATCAGTGTGTAATCTGGAGTCATGTGGCTGTGATATGCAGGCCAGCGCACTAAAATAGCTCCTGTAGCGTGGAAGACAGCTGGCAATCCTAAACCTCAAGGCTTTAGCTAGTCACCAGGGGTCACAAAGGATTATTTCCCACCCCTCCTTATGAATGCTTTGGCATCTGAATTTTCCCCCCCCACACCTTCTGACTGACTGGGACATTGGCCATTACTAAGGCTGGGGGACTTTTCCTGGGACATGCTGATGCTGCTTAGAAAAATCAATCACCAAATTTTAGTCAGGAAGGAATTTACTCCCACCCCGCAAGCCAGGCAGACTGGAATAGATGGTCCAGGGTTTTGTCTTCCTATGTGACATGGGACCTAGTACTTGTGCCTAGGATCCTCTGAGTATACAATTCAACTGCTTCCCTGTCACCACAGTGGTGGACTACTGGCAGTGCCCTCATCTTCCCTGCTTTTTATCTATGGTACAATGTAAGGTGTTCTTGGTATTTCAGAAATTGTGCCTTGTAATTGCAAGGGTTTTCTGTGGAAATTTTGGGGATTTCTGCAGTTCATGAATGCCTGGAAATGCAGAGAACTGAACTCAACGGCCCAGGAGGTCTCTTCCAATCCTATGTTCCTCTCTACATTTATGTAGATTTCAGCTTCAAATGTCAAAATACACCTGTCCAAGGCACAAAAATAAGATTTTAGGAGTTTGTGTAAATCAGGTGAAATACATTGTGCTTGGGAAGCAAGAATCAATCATGCTTCAATTAATTATTGGGATGTTTAAAATGCCAGACTCTGCAAACATTTCTGACCAGATACCCATGTTAGAAATTGTATCTCAATTATCGTTCAATATTTAATACAGTAGGCGGACTTTTCAGCAGGCTGAAGGTTAACAAATCCGGGCTATTTTTGCCAAAGGAGTTTTTTTATGCCCATCTTTGCTTAGTAAGTAAAGATTAATTTAACGACATACAGACATGAAACTAATTTTGTTTACCTAAACTCTACTTACCTAAACTATCAGGACTATCAATTGAAAAACACATAAGTATAACATCTGTATCTGGATATGAAAGAGGTCTAAGTCGATCATAATCTTCTTGCCCTGCTGTATCCCACAAGGCCAACTCAACCTGCAAAACAGGAGTGAAGGCAGTTAGCCAAGGCAGTCATCACAGAGAGTTACCCAAACAACCTGGAAAGCAGATTTCAATGAACACAATTTAAGGAAGGGAACACAGTGCACGCAGCTCCTCAAAAGGGACAAAAAAAATCTTCCATTTCCTACCCCAAAAATCAATGTAAATAATTTGACAACGTTTTCATTATAATCTATAGTAGAGGTGTCAAACTCACTTGAGACCCTGGGCCACACACAGATCACAGGGCTCCCAGCAGGCTGGATCTAACTGCAGGGCACGAGTGCTCCTGCAGTGGCCATAGCATCATCAGTGTGGAGTTGATGGGGGCGGGGGTAGGGCAGCGCGGGGTCTAGCAGTGGCAGGAGTGGGGACAGTGCAGAGTCCAGCAGCAGCAAGAATGTGGGCTGGAGTAGGGGTGGTGCAGCACCTGGTGGCAGGAGTGCAGGATCGGATGGGGCGGAAGTTGTACAGGGTCCAGCAATGGTGCCAGGTTCAGGAGCATGAGGTCTAGCGACAGCAAGTCAAGCTCACTGCTGATGGTCATGCCCAACAGGGCCAAGGGGCCCAAATTCTGGTGCCATCCAGTAGCCTGGTGGGCCACACAGTGAGGCTCCATGGGCCAAAACTGGCTCATAGACTGCTATGTTTGATATCCCTGATCTATGGTCATCACTAATCCTAGGAGCTTCCATAAAAAAAATAAGATAGAGGAGCTGAAGAAATGTACATGTTCTTAACATCTTAATTTGGGGCAAAATAGGAAGACCTAACAAATATAATTTTGAACAAACAAAAATAATGCACAATAAAGAATAATACCAATACAAATTACGTTTATAGAATTACAAACACATTTTAAATGGATATGCTTGCAGGGGAGTGTGTAATTTGGTTGTCTGTCAGGTGTTGAACTCAGTAACCCAAAAGTTCCCTTCTATCCTTGTATTTTTATATGCAAAGAGGCAAAAGTAACTTTCCAAGCAGCTTAGGTAAGTGAAAGGGCCAGTAACCGATTCCAAACATTAACATGCTTGACTCCAAAGCAATTGTCTATTATTTAAATTACAAAGACAATGATCCCTAAATGTTTCTCTGTTACATAAAAAACACAAAACTCTAAAACTCTTGGTTCAGAGATGATACCTTTTATTAGACCAACTAAGAAAATCACAAAAAAAAAAACGAACAAGAAACCCAGAAATCCCTAAGAAGTCATGCGCCCAAAAACTTGCAAAGAAAGATAATTTTTTTGCGATGTCTTCGTTGGTCTAATAAAAGGTATCATATCTCTGATCCAAAAGTTTTAGAGTTTTGCATTTCTTTTAGTCTCAGACCAACATGGCTACCAAATACATCCCTTTTACATAATGCATTTACTCTAAGATGAGGTTTTTCCCTCCAGTCAGCATGGGGAAAAATGTACCCTCATCTTATATTTGCACACAAAGTGGAGGGGGGAAACAGGTGGCTGCTGCAGCTCTGACCCTGGCTCTGAAGCCAGGTTGGGGCCAGTCAAACCCACAGCAGCCTCCTGCTGCACCCCACTCCGCTTACGTTCTGCAGCTGCTGCATTCACCAACTTACTGTCAGGTGCTAGGTATCTCCCAGGCCCAGAATACATGGAAACATTTTGCCCTGCCTAGCCAATCAGCACCAGCGACACTACTGCATTGTCTACCTGGCCAATCAGCAATGCCAACACTACTACATGGCCAAACAAGGCCCAAGCTTCCACCTGCTGTACTCTGGAAGCAGCCTAAGCAGCATCTGACTGTGTGGATGGGGG